CACGCTCCACAGTACCGGCGTGGTGTACGACTGGAGGACGCACAGGCCCCACGGGAGGCGGAACTCTGGATTCAACAGCGCGTTTATCCACATCGGAGGGTGTAAGGCGGTGAAGAGAATGTCCGAAATACTGAGGCTGACCACGGGGGCGTTCTCGCGTTTCCGGAGACTCGGACACAGCGTGACCGACAGAGTGACCAGAAGATTCCCGATGATGCTCAGGGCAATAAAAACTGCAAGACATAACCAAAGTCAATATTTGAAAATATAGCACATACGGCTAGCCTGCGTGCTATCCTATTTGTATACCAAGCTTACACATTTCGCTCCTGCGCAAATAGAATGGCACGCAGGCTATGACTACATGTACATGCAGATATTTGTTTTAATAAAATTTGAGAGTACTGGTATCAGCAAAACAGGAATATACGTAGATGTAGAAAGCTTGTTCCAACTTAAGCCTATCCAAGCAAATGGCCAAGCCATGAAAGTATCTATGACGCTGTATAATAAATAGAAAACAGGTGACAATAAGATACAAACAGAAAGAAATTATGAATTACCCTCTAAGTTATACACATCAAGGCTTGATTATAATATGATAAATGTAGGACATAGCCGTAATTGTTATACATGAATAAATAAATGTCGTGCAATCGTCGTACGATAGCAGACTCAGGGTCTTCTTGGGTTAGTCGTAAAAAATTCGACTATCTTGTCATCAAACAGGCTGTCTTAGACCCTAATAAGCTTGTCAGTGGTTGTTTTTTTTATTTATTCCAACATGCAAATATACAATACATAGTGGTGACGCACTCAAGCTACATGGTTATATTCACGTCACCACTGGACATAAAATAAAAATTACATCACAAAACACAAAACATGGGAATCGTCCAGGTAACTAGTGAACAAAGTTAAGCTTTTAAGATATTATATATGAAAATAATAGTATAAATCAATTGTTAAATCGCTTGGTTTCGGAGAGATATAACTGTGAAATAATTAGTATTTGAGAGTTGAGTTTAGATGAAAGTAAAGGTGATCCATTAAGTAACAGGTATACAAAAACACTATCGGATAAGTTATTATTATCTAAGAATGGAATGTTTAGTTGTAAAAGTCTGTCAAGGAGGCGTGCACGATGATGGGAGTATATGGGGCAGTGAAGTGGTTGTTCTGTCACAGCTTGCTTGAACATTATAAGACATCCAACTATTCAACCGTACGATGGCCTACAACGAATGTGACCATCCTACAAACAAAAATAAGTTTTCTTGTGTGTTCCTCGTGGTCGAGGATGATCAGTAGCCTTGGTTCACTTCTGATGGGTCCGGAGATGGCTAATGAGGCCAAAGGACCAAAGACTATGTATTGTAGGTAGAGTACTGTAGTTAGATATAGATGCATATAGAATCGACGAGAATCCAAGGGAATGGAAAATAAAACGTACTATAGATGGAATGGTGACTTACTGATCATGATGACAACAACGGCGTACAGTAGAGCTGGAGAGATGGCCATGATGCTTGTAGCCCGGTGACTATTCTGCACTGGCCGAATTCGGGGTGTATCAGTCCCAGGCTGTTGGCACAGGCCTTTCCTTTGGCAATCGATCTTTCCAGCCAACCTTTCTGACTACAACCGTCCCGTAGAGCAAAATAAAACCGACTCGACGTGCGCTAATGGACCTGGGCGGGCCGGCAGTTCTCTGAGCACCGTAGAGATAGCGGTGAGCCTACGGTGGTCTAGTTACCAGGCTATACATGCATTGCTCTTGGCGATGACGAGCTACAACTCATCAAGCCAAAGAAAATAAAAACTGCTATCTGGCGGAGCAAAGCTCTTCAGGCAATCATGTAACTGTTCACTGACCAATGACAAGAACCTTTAATACTTATACGTGCACGGCCTTTTAAACGGAGATGATCAGATGATGATCAAAGTCTTAACAGTTGTCTTTGTTAAAAGTATGATCATTCGATTTATCGTTCCATTTGTTTTGCTCTGCACAGTAGGCAGCGGGGTAGTCAAACACTTTGATTATCAAAAGACGCATGAAAAGCCAATTAGATATAAAACGATCAAAGTTGCAAATGACTTTCATCCGACTTCAAATCTAGATCTGTTTTACAACTGTCCCAAACGATACAGAGTGACGTATAAAGCCCACTACATTAAAAAAAAGGTAAATGTCCCATGACATTTTGAGGCCATATGAGCAACGGGAAGTTATCTTGTCTTTGGAAAGCCTACTTCTTTCTTCCTCTACGTGCACCAAGTTTTCTCCCCAACCGAAGTCAGGTACCCATTTACACCTGGGTGAAGTGAGGAAAGTATTCTCCCAAAGGCACAACATCTAGCAACGACCTCTCGATACGTATACCGTGTTTGGCATTGTAGCCTCTCGGCTATCATCGATGATGGCACTTGATGACACAATTAATACACAAAACATGTAGTACATGTAGTAGTACAGGTCATACGAATCACTATTTTGCTATTTGTATTGCCCTCGCAGAAACCAAGCAATGCAACACTTAAAACGAGCATTTGATTTTATTTCAAATTTGCTGTCGTTGAATGATCAGATTAATGGCCAGTTCCAAAACCTAAAAAACAAACAAACGAATGATCAAAAGCGCCTTTCATCATTCGGTAGACAGGGGAATACGGCAGAACTCAGTAAATTTCTTTAGAGGGTATGTCCTTGCCCTTCTATAAGATTAGCCTGGGTGCCATGCTCTGTAGCAAAAGACAAGCCGGCAGCAACTACGGAGGATAGCACCCAGGCTAGTAAAAAATTTATTAGATAACTTTCTATTGCTCCTACTTGTACAGTTTTATCGTATATCACGCTGGGCAATTCGTAAAAAGAATATCCCATTGGGATGATCTGAAAGATAGATGACTGACCGTATCCTTTCATGTCAAATATTAAGACGTCACCCAGAGATATCGTTATGAGAACGACTTCCTTAACAGCTACCCGCCGCAGGCTCTGACGTAACAAAATACGTCAGGCGGAATTGACGAGTGCCTTTTTTGCATCGTTTTGACTCTTTTATCTCTGGTTTGCTCGTTTCTTGATATCACGATTGATTGACGTTTTGTAGTTCAAATAAAGCTCGGCTCCTTTTAAGTCCACGTGATTTAAAGAGATGTACACAGGGGATGTAAAGCAGTTCAAAGTTGCAGCTCTTTGGAAATAAAAGTGATATCTTTGAGCTGATACTCTCATTATGTCAAAGCTTGGTCGAAGCAGCGACATAGAAAAATGGCCTAGCATGGAAAATATTTTTCTTTTAGTTAATCCGTTGACCTCGAAAATAACACATTATCATAAAGCATGATGAAAGCTATGCAAAAGTGCCTGTTGTTGGTGCTGAACACCATCCACACACAGGTAAACATGCCTGTCCTTGGTGCTGAACACCATCCACACACAGGCAAACATGCCTGTCCTTGGTGCTGAACACCATCCACACACAGGTAAACATGCCTGTCCTTGGTGCTGAACACCATCCACACACAGGTAAACATGCCTGTCCTTGGTACTGAACACCATCCACACACGGGTGAACATGCCTGTCCTTGGTGCTGAACACCATCCACACACGGGTAAACATGCCTGTCCGTGGTGCTGAACACCATCCACACACGGGTGAACATGCCTGTCCTTGGTGCTGAACACCATACACACACAGGTAAACAAACATGCATGTCCTTGGTGCTGAACACCATCCACTTACAGTTAAACATAAACACAAACTCACCCAATCAGAACAGTTTGCCATTTGTAGAAGACATTTATTGTTAGCTTTCAAATAGCATATTGCCTACTTACTGAATATGGTCATGGTGACATGATATAATAATCTGCAAGCAGATGTGAGTTTAGGCTTATTTTGCACAAGTTTTTACGTTGTTTGCCAGAATTCTAGTCTGAATGCAACACTGTTTCTAGGGTCTACATAGGCCACTACTCTTTGGCCCTGGGGCTAACTGGCCCCCAAACAAATTTTACCACGTTGCTTCTACATATATCTGTACTGGTTTTGATGCTCATGTTTCTGTCATTACAGCCACAGGCCTAGGTATACAAATGAAGTTTCCAGGGCAGCCTGCTTGTGCAGTGTGGAGTCGGACTGTGGACATGGAATGTATCTTCTTTTCGAGCCTACTTCAAGCTACATCTGACAGTGTCTGCTAACCTACAATGTTGAAGTTAGAGGGAACCACGGTCAAGCCAGATTTTTGCCCCTGCCAAATATTTGCCTGTACACTACATGGGGGTTTCCAATATACATGTACCTGATGAGACAAGGAGGGGGATGGGGTTTTCTCGTGCAGTGGAGACTAAATCTAAACCCTAACTCTAACCCTACCACTACCATAACTGTAACTCTAACCCTAGCCCTAAACTCCAGGCATGCGCACTACTGCATAAAGCACTGCACCCTTACTCCGGAGGGAGGCAGCGGGGGGTGGGACCCGACAGACCGATGCAAGTCTCGGGCCTAGTCTCGCGCTCTCGCGAGATTAGGCCACTCCGTGAACAAGATGGACTGATAGCCATCGAAAATTTGGAGGTTAGTATCCTTATCCTTCCAAAGTTGTAACTGATGAAAGAATTCACTAGGAACTGCACAAAGCAAAAATTTGGCAGAGTGCAGAAATTTGACACACACTGGATAAAGTTTTGGAATGAGGCAGTACCAATGCTAATGGGGGAGGGGGGCACTACTACAAGTACCAGTGGTGCTTTTCAGATCTCGTGATCATGGAACTTTGGGGGGTTTTGCTAATTATCTCTTGTTTAGCTTTCTATGCAACATTCAAAGAAAGAATAAGCTGATTGCAGAAAAAGAAAGTCTGAGGCAAAAAGGCAAAAAAATCAATCAACATTTTTCGATTATGATTCATAAAAAAGAGAATTAGAAAAAGGAATTACAGGCTCAGTAACCAAAAAAAGAGAAAAAAAGGAAGTTCAAGAAAATACTAAAACAAATAATTGGCCAGTAATTCACTGATTATAGACAGTTAGATAGATTTACATTGAAACAAATATTATTGCTGAATTATTGCTACAAAAATGCTGTTTTGGACTTAAAGACATTTTTTTAGTCTTCTAGACTGTCGGACATACTTTCTTCCAAGTCTCCCTGGTAAACCCCCTTCACAGCCCATGGGGGGGTCCCTTCAGGTACTGTTCTGTCAGAGAAATCACTAGACAGTACCCGAGCAGCCCCCCGCTGAGGGCAAATCTCGTCCAGCGAGTCCTTCAGTTTCCGCAGGGCGGTGGACTCCCACGGGAGACGTCTCACGGTGAACCGCGGGGGGTCCTGGGTCTCTTCACCGCTCGACTCAGAGGACTGGTACGGCTTGGCCAGGATCTCAGCCGCCATCTGCTTAGTACGGTCTGACCATGAGTCCTTGCATTTCTCCAAAGCCTTCCTCCTACGGTGCACTTTCTGAAACAGAAGTTAGGTTCCCTTTTGACAAACTCTTACTATCTTTTCTCAACACATAATACTTAATAGGTTATTACAATGTAGATACCAGTAAGATTGCTAAGTTGTTTTTTTTATGAGTAAAGGTACAGAATTCTACATTTTGGTGCAGCACTATCTACACATCACAAATAAATATGAATTTTATTGCATAGAAAGAAATTCAGAATAAGAAATTTTGGGCCTTTTCTTAGTCTTTTTTATTGGGGCTCTTGAAAATGACTTGTAACATGTTCAGCTGACAAAATTAAATGCATGCAAAGTACACAAATTTTTACTGCCATCTCCCTCTATACAATTGCATAACTTGATAATAACAAAATATAATGTTACAATCACTTTTTTGAATTGATGATAAAATGGTAATGGTCTCAATGTACCTGCATGAGTCGTTGTTCCTTCCTCATAGCGTTCCTGTGTGCCATGAGCTTCCCTTTCTCTCGCCGTACTCTGTCGTCCCTCTGGGATCGGTAGTAACGTCTTGCTGCATCTGAAGTGAATGAACAAAACAGGAATAGCTTCAAGGTTCAATCACATAAATCATAGACATGTTCAACAATTGTGAAAAGTATTTGTTTCTCTAATGCACACTTCAATGCGCATCTAAAAAAGGTACATTAACATAAATAGTAACACTTAGTTAAAGACAACCACCTTTAACTTCCATTGGTGAAAAGGGACATTTCTCCTCCCCACCGTACTCTTTGGCGATCTCCCAGTGCAGGGTCTGGAGTACCTGCTGGTTGTACCTGGAAGTCAGTCTGTAGTATACATGTACATATGAGTAAAAAGGCAATATCTAGTTACTGCATGAAAACTTCCCAATATGATTATGACGCAAATGTTTCATCAATGTATCTTATGCCCAGTTGAAAATGGCACATGTATACATCTTTATCGGTATCCTTATTACAATGTAGTATCATCATGTGATAAAAAAATATTATGACTCGATTAAACTGTACTTTTTCACTTAGTTAGTACAGCATATCTTTCAATAAAACATGCATGATTAATGAGTATTATCTTATCTATTTGTTATGAATTGGATCATTTGAAACATACGTTTCATTCAAGTTGAAGCCGTTGAAATCATTGTCCCCTTCCAGGAGAGACTTGTATATCTTCCTCACATCATCCTGAAATAGTCACAAATTTAAGTCAAAGACTTCTTGGGCCATGTATATTGTACAGTACTTGTACCTCTGCTGGCAAAATTATGTCCTGTACTACCGGTATCAGTACTGAGCAAAATAAAACACTTGTGTACACCAAAGATATTTTTATGATAAAGGTAAATTGCATATCAAAGATGGCAATTATGACAATTTGGCACTTTTCAAGTGCAACAATTTACTTCTAAAAAAGACACTTGGCTACATGTACATGCATAACTTGACTACATGTCATAGAATTATATATGCTCAAAAACAAAAAGACAAAAATACATACATGTAAATTATACTTACTCTACACTTGTTATCAGGCACCTTGAACTTGTGTGTGGTTTTGCGTCTTTTTCTACTTCTTCCATTTTGATCCTCCTCCTGGCCTCCGTATACATGTACATCAGGCTCGTGCAGTCGCTGCTGTTGTTGATCGCGAATCTCTTGAATCGCCCTCCGATTTTCCGCGACCTGTTTCACCAGTTCATGAAGCACGAGACCAAAGTTCTCATTTTGTCCCTGTTCCACGACATTCCCAAATGACGCGAACAAGTCCTCCGCCATGACAGTGGGAATGTTGGGATCGCGGTGAAAACTGCAGCTACAATTGCGACACCTGTCAATCACATTTTCAGACGTACCGTCTCTGTTTTGATCAACCGGTTCCCGTTTCAACCCACAGGACTGTCTATGTTGCACTGTGTTATCAAACTCATCTCTTTCAGTGCTCCGTCTAGCTGTTGAGCTATCTTTCGATGAGATACTCCAGCCAAAATTCTCATTGACAGTGACGCTGACAGGTACAGCATCAGCTGTCACGCTGTCATTCTGTCTGCTGTTTTGTTTTTGAACAGCACGCTGACTTTGTTCCACCCCATCATTGCTTAAGTCCGAATCTTCCAAGTCTAGTAGGCTGCAAGGGTCAGACGAAGTAGCCTGTATGTTTCTTGTTGTACTGTTTTGAGGATTACATTCAGCTGTGGCCTCTCCCTGTGGCAAGTGGAGTACGTCCAAACTGCTGCCCAGATCTGAGCTCGCTCCTGTGACCGCCCCGCGGTACTCTTGTTCCATCACGTCCTGCAGAATCCTCAGCAGATGTTCCCGACAGTTTCCCGCGGTGTCGGTGTCTGGACTGATGTTCCTTCTCCTGAGCTCTGTCACCACCTCTTCCATGTACAGTCTGGGTAACACGGCCAGGGTCACCTCTTGGGACAGGCCACAGGGATTCTCTTTTATTCTTGCCATGTTTTCTATTGAAATAATAGGGAAGGGTATAAGAGAAAATAGCTTTGCCCCTGGGGTGTCGCCAAAAATTATAACATTATGTTCATTATTTATTATTGCAACATACAATGTCGCAACATATGATTAAAATACTAGTATGGCTCACCATTTTTGGTTTGTATTGTCGAATGGAGTGGTCCTGCTAGCGAACATGAGACAAAGACAACATGTGTTCCTGGCAATGCCTGGCATCTCAGGCAAGGCAATAAGCTTGGGAAACTCACTTACAATGTAACACTACTTTCCAGGTGTAAAATGGGTACCTGACTTCGGTTGGGGAGGTAAAAGGCAGTGGAATGAGACTGAGAATTTGCATTGGGGTCCACCTAGCCGTGGACGACTCTGGTAATCCTTTTTGCATGATAATGCCGGATGCAAAAAGGATTACCAGAGTCGTCCACGGCTAGGGTCCACCTTCCAAATTTAACAATACTGTGACCAGTGGAGTGGAGCCAAAAGGCTATGAGACTAACTTTATCTTACCTTCAGAATTATCTATCGTATCATCACAAAATTATACTATGATGACTTATGTTTATCTTCATGTAACGTTACTTGACACTGATGATAAAGCCCCCCCTCCCATCCACTACGTAAATGTTAAAAATTTCACATTCTCTTCAATAAAACGTTAACACAGAGGTGAAACGCACCAGACAGAGCCTGTAGCAGCAATCCACGGTGATATAGCTGCCTAAACCGCTCCTTCAACGGACACAAGAGAAAGCTTCAATGTCTCTTTTTGCAGAATGAAAACAAGGCAATAAATACGCATCTTAACAGGTGAAAGTTGAGAGGTCAAATAGTTACAGTACCCGATTAACCACATAAGGTCTTCGTTCACAATTTTCTGAGAGGTCGAGCATTAATTTAACCTGATTATCCAAATATGGTTCAGGTTTGGCAGGTTTTCTCTTGCTTGCAGTCTATAACATTAGGGCTAAGGCCACACCAAGTACATTTTATGGATGACGTCCTTTCGAGACCCTAGATCTAATGCGAGAGGGCGAAAAAAAAAAAACAAGAAGGGCCCTAAAAACCAAGATGCCTTGATTAGAAATATACTAAGAGACGACAAATGTTAGGACACAAATTGAATGAGGTGACACAGCGTAACAAGCATAAATAAATCAGGTGGAACAGCAGCTGTCGTCCTGTGCTTTGGAGAGGTTGATGGAGCAGTCAGCAAGTTTCTGCAAATGTGTCAGCATGTACCAAACTGAATTCCTAATGGAAGTCTTGCTTGATGCTTCATAAGCTTTGGTCCGTACAAACCTATTTGCGGCACTGTCGTGACTCTTTGGTCATAGTTACAGGAAGCGAAATTTCTTGGGTTTTTTTTCAAGCAACAGGCCAAAATCAATGCGCGCGCGGATGTCATCCATAAAATTTACTTGGTGTGGCCTAATGTAAAAGACTGCAAGCAAGAGAAGCCCTGCAACAGTCACCGCGGATAGGAGGAACCGGTAAACTGCATAGTTACCGACTTGAATGAACTGGACATCATGTTAAACTTTTTATCCCCCATCTCTCAAAAGTGCTTCTATTATTTTTATGACATAGGAAACACTGGTTATTAGCACGAATGGCGACCAAACTAGAGTTTAATGTTATGTCGCTATGTGGGTAATCAGGTGAACTTTACATTTTGCCTATCACCTTTGACCCTGTGAGGTCACTTTGGTCGACTTCGACGCGTCCAAGCGTTCCCGCCTCGGATCTCAACTTTGACTCGATAAAACTGCCTCTATATATCGATAACAGCAAGCTTTAACACCACAGACGGATGACACAAAGGTCTATCTGGTGGGTACTGAGTGTTTATGGTGCTGAAGTTAAGTTTGGGGGGGGGGAGGAGAGAACTAGCTGCAGTTTTAATAGCGTAACGGTAGACTACCGTGGGGAGGGGGGCGTTAGGGAAAAAAAAAATGTTGTGTTTCCAGTTTCCTGACCGACACTAGAAAAAACCTGCGGAAACACAAGATTAGTTTTCCTAGGCCTCACTAATTTTAGAGTTCTCAGGACTCTATAGTGTAGTTTAGGTGGCAAAATATAATAGCATAAAGTTGAATTGTCTGTAGGACTAGAAGGCGAAGGCATTTTTCTCTTATACCCCCCCCCCTTTTCTTTTCATAGAAAGATGGCGAGAATAAAAGAGAATCCCTGTGGCCTGTCCCAAGAGGTGACCCTGGCCGTGTTACCCAGACTGTACATGGAAGAGGTGGTGACAGAACTCAGGAGAAGGAACATCAGTCCAGACACCAACACCGCGGGAAACTGTCGGGAACATCTGCTGAGGATTCTGCAGGACGTGATCGAACAAGAGTACCGCGGGGCGGTCACAGGAGCGAGCTCAGATCTGGGCAGCAGTTTGGACGTACTCCACTTGCCACAGGGAGAGACTATAGCTGGATCCAATTCACAAAACAGTACAACTGTTAGGGTACCCCCTAAGTCTTCACAGGTACCACCTAGAAACATACAGGCTTGCAACCTTTTTGAGTTGCAGACCATACCTGTATCCAACGTACAGAACAGTACAACTGTTAGTTTGCCTGTAACTAGAAACATACAGGCTACCTTGCCTGACCCTTGCAGCCTTATGGAGTTCCAGACCATACCTGTATCCAATGTACAAAACAGTAGAACTATTAGTTTGCCTATTACATCTTCACAGGTACCAACTAGTAGCACACAGGCTACCTCATCTGATCCTTGCAGCCTTTTTGAGTTACAGACTGTGCCGGTAGCCAATGTACAAGTCAGTACAACTCTAAGTTTACCTGTTACATCATCACAGATACTAGAAGGAACTAGTAGTAATAGTAGTCACATACAGTTTACTTCATCTGATGCTTGCAGTCTTTTGGAGTTACAGTCCATTCCTGTATCCACCGTACAAGACAACGTTACAACAAGTTCAGTGCCAGTCGATACTCTCCAAAACCTGAGCACCCTGTCTGCCGCTTGCAGCACTTTTGAAGATGCAGATGTGACTGTAGAGTTTGCCATCGAAGAAGTGGATCACACTCAGTATACCATGGAGAGCTGCAGTAGTGATGATGATGATGGCATGGCCGCCACTGATGTACCCGTCACGGTTACTGTCGATGAGAATTTCAGCTGGAGCATCTTGTCTAAAGATGACGAAACTGCTAAAAGGAACAATGAAAGAAATGCTTCACAGGATGACGAAACTTCTGTGCAAAACAACAGCAAGTCTAAAAAGGAGTCTGTTAGCCAAGACAGAGCCAAGAAGACATCCAAGAAAAAAGCCTCTAAAACTAGTAGTAAAACTAAAAGGTCCAGCACAGGAGACAAAGTCTTTAAGTGTGGAGAATGCAGCTACAGCATTTCTAGAAAAAGGGACCTGGCCTTACATAAGATGAAACACCACACTGGTGAGATGCCCTTCAAGTGTAAGGATTGTAACTACAGCACGGCTCGGAAGACAGACCTCAAGAAGCACAGAATAGTTCACACGCGAACCTTGCCCTTCAGCTGTGAGCTGTGCGACTTCAAAACAGCCTACCAGTCTTGTCTCTCCAGACACATGAAAGTTCACGATGAGAACTCAGAGGAGGCTAAACGCAAGGACAACAGAGTCTACAAGTGTGGGGAGTGTGACTTCAGCACGAAAAAGAGAGAGAATTTGCATGGCATAAACAAAATCACACAGGCAAAATGCCCTACACGTGCGACCAGTGTGACTACAGTTCGCTGAGGAAAGTAGACCTTGCCTTGCATAAGAAAAGACATGCCGGTGACATGCCCTACAAGTGTGATCAATGTAGCTATAGAACTGCCAGAAAACACGATCTACCTAGGCATAAGAGAACCCATGCTACAACTAAAATTAGTAAAAGGTCAGCTGAGAAATTGAAGCCAGTTAAAGAGAAGAAAGTCCCTAAACCCGACAAATCTTTTAAGTGTACAGAATGCAGCTATACCACAAAAAGGAGACTAGAAATGGCCAGGCATGAATTCCAACACACAGGCAAGAAGCCTTACAATTGTGATAAATGTAGCTATGGATCTCTTAGAAAACAGGACCTGGAAAGACATGAACAATTAACCCACGCTACCAAAGACAGTACAACCGAGGAATTCTTCACGTGTACAGAATGCAGCTATAGCACACGTAGGAAAAGAGAACTGGAGTTGCATTTCACTAAACACACAGGCAACGAGCCCTTCAAGTGTGACCAGTGTGACTATGCTACACTGAGAAAATCGGACCTCAACTTCCACAAAATAAAACACACTGGGAACATGCCCTACAACTGTAATGAATGCGACTATGGAACGCCTCGGAAGTCAGACTTACAGAAGCATTTGAGAACCCATACAGGGGAAAAACCCTTCAAATGTGCGTTCTGCGACTTCAGAGCGGCTATGAAGTGTAATGTTAACACACATCAACGGAAAGTTCACAAAGACGGCCGCGTGGTCAAGGATCTCACTACTGCTGCATCTGATCAGAACCCAAATGAAGAGAATGTTGACAGACCTTACAAGTGTAAAGAGTGTGTCTACAGCACAGCAAGTAAAACAGACCTTGTTGCACACATTATTAACCACGGAAGTAGTACACCCAATGAGTCTGGGCCAGAGAAAGACACCCTCATGGAAGAAATCGAAACCAAGAACAGCTCCAAAGCTGATGCCGACAACGGATTGACAGATAAAAACGATGGCACCGAAGATACAGAAGATGTAAACTCACAAAAAGATGATCACGAAACACAAGAGTCAAACACAAGCGAAAGCAACACAGAGACTACTGAGCCAAGACTTGCAAACCTTGCCTTACTTGAGTCCTTACAGAAAGAAATATCTCAAGAAACCAACTCAAGCAAGGCTGCTGAAGATGGCAAATCCATGGATGAAGATTTAAGTAGTGTGAGTTTGGAAGAAGAAATCACAGTCTACAGCTTACCCTACAAGTGTGAGGAGTGCAGCTTCAGTACACAAGGAAAAGAGAGTTTGACAGGCACCAGCGTGTCGAGCACGCTTCCAATATGCGCTTTAAGTGTGACGCGTGTGACTATGGGGCTACGAAAAAATCTGACCTGGTCAAGCATATGATAACAGCACACGCCGGTGACTTGCCTTATAAGTGTGATCAATGTAGCTACAGTTCAATGCGAAGGATAGCCCTGACTAGGCATAAGGTAGTCCACACAGGAGAGAAACCTTTCCACTGTCTGCAGTGTAATTTCAAAGCTGCTTTCAAGTCTAACCTCCTCAAGCACATCAGAGTCTCTCACGGTTCTGAAGATGTTAGCCCTAAAAGTAAAATTGGAAGTGACGAACAAGAAAGACCTGCCAGTGATGAATCTCAAAATGAAGACAACATCTCTTGTGGTATCAAGGACGATGGTGATGGTACCACAGCAATCACTGACACCGCCAGTTGCGATTTGTCAGAGACAGAAGACGACAATTCGCAAGGACTGACAGCAATGGAATCTGCAGAAGACGGTGGGCCCAAGAATAAAGACTCGACGTCCAGCACGGCACAAGAAGCTGCAAAGCCCAGAAGGAAGCCCGGCAGAAGTTGGCATCTTTTCCTCTGCGAAAATTGTGATTATTCCACACATCGTAAGGACAGCCTGGTACGACACATGATCACCCATTCTGGAATGAAACCCTTCAAATGCAAGCAGTGTAAGTACAAGGCTGCCGACAAGTCCAACCTCATCAAACACCTCCGGAAACACTTGAAGAACGTCAAGATGAAGTACAGGTGTAAGGACTGCGACTATGAAACGACTGTGAGGTCTGAGTTCGTTGTCCACAAGATGAGCCACGTTAAGACATTCTCCTGCGACGAGTGTAGCTACACTTCTCACCGACAATTTGACATCGTCAGACACAAGATCAGTCATTCGGGCGAGAAGCCCTATCTGTGCGACGAGTGTGGGTTCCGAAGTGGGGACAAGTCCAACCTCCAGGGGCACAAAAAGACGCAGCACCAATTCTGCATGTGCGAAGTCTGCGGCTTCACTACCACCAAGACTGCTGAGATGAGTCGACACAAGAAGATCCACACGAGTCTCGAAAAGGAACCAGAAGACAGCTCTGCCCAACGTAACGACGAGACAAATCATTTTCAGTACAAGTGCGGGGAATGCAAGTACAGGACAAGTTTCATTGGGCACATGAAGAATCATATAAAGTCGCACAAGGTGAACTGTCCGTTTGTGTGCCAAGAATGTGGCTACCGGACGCCGCTCAAATATAACCTACAAAAGCACATGATCGGACACACCGCGGTCAAACCCTTCCGCTGTCACATCTGTGGATACCAGACGGCTCGCTCGAGTGACTTCAGGAGACATGAGAGAACGCACACGGGCGAGAAACCCTACATGTGCATGGACTGTGATTTCAGGACTGGGGATAACTCTTGCTTAACAAAACACATGGCAACTATTCATAAGAAAGGGAGTGGGGTATCATAACTGTGGAATGGACACATTGTTTGAAATCTGTGTCATACTTGAGACTTTTGTACACAATATAGAGATTCTTTTCATGCAGACTTGATATTTGATCCCTGATATTTGAGACAGAGGTCGCTCTTAATATTTTTGTTCTTATTCCACCAGGATAGGAGTGAAGTAATGTTTTTGGCCTGTCTGTGTGTTGTTTCTGTGTGATCTGCTAGAGGGAGCAACTTGTAGTATGTTTCTGTGTATGTTATGGGTTCTTTGTCTATGGTTTTCTTGTGTAAAAACTGATTGCTGGTTAAGGTTAAAAATGCATTAAGTACGTGCATCTCCCATTCCTTGGTTTTTATACCTTTGATACTTCACAATAAAGAGTTTTCAAAACCGTATGATTATCAAATTTTTCATAATTATATTTTTTTCAATTGCGTCAACTTCGTGATGCTAAGTGCTCTGTAGTGTAATGCACGATTATACTCGTAGAACACGAGTTTTTCACGATGTAGAAGTGTAAAGGTTATTTTTGTCTTTCCCTTATTGTTCCTGATTGGATAAGCCACGCTTCTTTCTGATTGGACAACATGTCATGGTTATGCGTATGCGTCCTGCTCTGTAATTGGTCAAATCTTCCTACAACAGTCTCTGATTGGATATAACAAAGGCCAAGGCTATAGGTCCGCTTCCCCAGCAAACATCTTTAGTATAAGGTCCAGCCAAACGAACAAAGCTCATTTGGGAAGCCGACCGCTCACCATTCAACACCTCCCTGTGCTCTTGAAGCTTTAATACGGTAAGCACTGTCTGTGTTCCACGTGTAACATTTAGTTTACAAAGTAGATGCCTTTCTGTACTCAAAAGCCCGGTTTTAAAATATCTAAATGAAAGACATGTACATAACCTTTGGCACCTTGAAAAATGCTTCTCACAAAAGTAAGCAACGGCCACAAAATATGTATCCATCTAGCTCAGATCAGCGTGTGACATTTTTAGTCTAATTTACTGGTAGTGAAATGTATGAAATCAGCTTACATTTATCGATTTACAATTAACACAACAAGTAATGAGCCCATTTGACACCACTGGTCTTTGGACCGCTTTTCTGGTCACCCGAAACAAACTGGACCTTTGTTCTACCACTAACAAGTCATCGCACCCGTCTTAAAGCAAAGAATACTCGTTTGTTTGGTCTTTGTACTACTAATATTCTCAATATGACTGATATGCCACTGATTCCTATTGACGGCTTGTTGGATTTGAAAATAAAAAACCAGTACAACGATTTCTATTCTTATAAAAAGCTTTATTGTGACCTAGCATCTTATAGTCCTTTTCATGCTAATGCATTTTAAGCTCTTAACTTACATGACTTAATGACAACAGTTGCTAGCAGGTGAAAACTTAAAGGAAAGAAGGGTAAATATGTTGTACCAACTTTCCTTTGTAAGACCATGTCATATTACTCGTACACGGTTAGAATTACACTTTTTATTATGTTTACTGTAGTGACAAAAGAACTCTGACATGGCGCACACCACTATTTGTCTGGCCTTGCTTGCGGTATTTGTTGGGGTTGAAGGTACATGTAACATGTTTGCTAATATTTACCTCTGGGTATGGAGGTATTGTTTTTATGTTTTTGGAGTGGACGCGTCCACGTCCGTGAATGTATTGTGCACGGAATAAGTTGATTTTCTTGGTTTTAGAATTTGTATTGTAACTCTACTATAGGGATTTATCAATGGTCGATAAAGGAAAGTCGGGTATTGCTTGATGCCTTGGGCAACTACTACCAGTCTTAACCGGAATGCATTTTGGTGTTGTTTAATTGTCAGACGTAGACATGCAGGGTTCACTCCACAAAACGTGGGATTTACCAGTACTATAGCGATTATAGCCATTACCAGATTTACTTTGCATGTATCATCAAAGGAAAGTCCGAATTTTCATGCAGTGGACGTTTCTGTGAAACCAAAAAGGGAGTTTTGTTCTTTTTAGCCGAACATTGTGACTGGCAGCCTGTTTTCCGAATCCTACCCGGAGTTGGAGGCGTGAAGGCGAAACACGTTTGGACCGCTGGCTTCGCCACAGACTTCGGGTCAGACCCGCTCCTCTTCCCCGCTGCCCACTACAAAAGCCCGCTGGTGGAAGAGTGGGAAACACTCGGCGTTCAACTGGTGCGTTTAGCGCTAAGCTTTTTAATTAAGAGATTGACTAGTATTTTTGACGATAGCATTCCTACTCATTTTGGAATGTGGGATGATTAAAATGCAAAGAACTTCAAGAATCCGAATGCCTGGTTTTAGGGAAATGGGTTAAACAAACATCTCTAATTGGCCATTGTATACACGTGACCTCGCCAATGGGTCAAAGGTCACTGAAAGGCTACACCGTCCCCCGACCAAACGTCAGTCAAGGATGCAGGTCATCTAAGATTCCGGATAACCCTAAAGCTTGATTCTAAGGATTCAACATCTCTCATTGACATATTATCGACTTCAGTGATGGGTCAAAGGCCACTGAAAGGCTGTACCGTCCCCCTGCATTCACGGAAAGGCCGCTACACACTCTCAGGCACCTGTGACCCATTGCTGAAGTCACGTGTCCGCAAGATCACGTATCTGAAGTGATAGATGTCTTGCACATATAGTTTCTACTTAGTTTCTCGTTCTATAATGCATATCATATGAGAACCTTTTTACCAATAACTGTTAAACTTTGGAACAGTCTTCCAAGGGAGATCGCTAAGATCAGGGACAGACAAATATTCAAACGTGAAGTTAATTCTTTCCTCAGGGCAAAACTCTGACAGCGCTTTGTCTAGGCAGTCCAGCTGCTAATGCTAAGTGAGAGCTGACATGACATGAACACATGTCGTTGTACAGGTGAAAGTGTCCCTGTACACGTACCAACAGGGAACCGAAGTGCGCAACTTGATCTTTGACGGGAGAAACAGCGACAAGCTCAGCTGGTTCTCCCAGGAGCGACTCATCTCGTCCCCATGGACTGACCTGAAAACGGAGACCACCAACCGTTTCTCGATCCCAGGTGAAGTGGTAAATCCTGATGCCCCAAGGTACGCACTTGAAAATGTTGGACATGGCATTGGTGGCCTTATGGTTAACGTTTGGTTCAGAATCTAAAAGTTCTGTGTTCAAATCCAAGAATATGGTGATATAAGTTGCCTTTCTCTTATTATTCATCCAGGTTTTTCAAATATCAACAAACAACAAAAGACTATTTAACTGCTTTAAGTCTCCCAACCATTTATGTAAAAAAAGTTGGACACTATCTTCCACTGCCTCCAGAGAAGAAATCAACCGCGCTAATAGCTAGAATTAGAATACCGAGTTCCTCTTACATGTTTATGTATTACATATCCTTTCTCTGTCACGCATACATATACATTATAGAGATAGAAAGTTAGATATTAAGTAGAACGTAGAATTTCATGTTAACATATGGTTTTGTACCATTCCTCAATACATTCTGTACTCATGGCCCTGCTTGTCAATGTCAGTTTGCAATTAGCCCTCGATCTGGCATGAACTTGCAATCAAGATCTTAATATATCTAATTCCCAAAAATCATCTTTCAGGAGTTTCTATATCAACCGGAACTATGACGGTTGTCCCGCCGACAGCGGTTGGCTGGCGGTGTTGGAAGGCGGCACGGTGTGTCCGTGGGAGACACTTGACCAGCCTGCACCACGAATCCTGTTCTCTAGGAAGTCGACTCACGTCAACTGGACTACAGGTCAGCTTGTTAAGAAGTCCTGACCTGGCAAACACCCATTTGAACAACGGCCCAACGTAGTTTTGTATGACGTTCAATCAGAACGTCCTTGGTATTACCTACAAAGCGTCTAGCGATCACTTGTACCAGAGGACATTACCTGTAATTGTATCAAGAGCTGACTGCGTATATAGGAAAGTTAAATTCAGTTTACAGCAGAATGAATCTCGAAGGGTTTGGTTAGAATCCCACCGCTGCCACCATTTTGTAACGCAGAGAGCACAATGATAAGGTCAAGCAACGTCTGCGGCTGGCCAACACAAAAATACCTTATCTTGAAATTAACATACCTATTGTTGCAAAGCCTCTACCCCTTATTCTGACAGATCTAAAACCTCGTAGCCTCCATCAGCCTTCGGGAGGCGGATGGAAAGAGTAGAAATTGGCCAAACAGAGAGACACCATGCATGGGTAGTTGGTACAGTTTGCCGCACCCGACAACTGTACTCTCTAGCGGACCAACTGAACTCCCCATGTTACTCTCTATTTGGCCAATTTCTACTCTATCCAGCCGGCTCCCGAAACCTGTTAGAGGCTAAAAACCTCATTGGACAGATGTATAATGACATTGTCGTGTTCCTACAGGCGGTGATGACGTAGGGACTGCTGACGTCATGGTGGTCTCCATCAAGACCTGTGGTCACGTCACAGAATCAGCTGACGAGCACCCTCTCCGTCGTCATCACCATGAGGACGAGGCACTTAGTGTCGATGCCTGACCTTCAAACCTCTGTTTACTGTCCGAAAACCAGAAAAAAACTAAAGCTTACCAATGAATAGACCATCCCATGTTTGCAACTTTTCCTTTATTTTGCAACTCTTTTATTGATGAAGAACTGAAAAAGGTAAATCAATTATTTCATACATTGTTACATTGGAGATGTAAAATGATGACATGATATACAATCCTTCAAAAGAGAGCATTTCTATTATAATAATAATACTATTCATTTTTGCAACTCTTTTACTGATGAAGACATTATTACTAACATGACCTTAAGCTACAAGAAAATCATTATAATACCCTATTTACATTTGGTAAACCACGCCTATATAAAAATGGCGGAGAAAAAAAGGTCAATCTTGACCTACTAGTATTAAAATTTACAGGCTTGTTGAAACTGTCTCTCTATTTGTTGTTTGTTCTTGTCTTTGTTGTTTACTCTCAATGCTGAGAACTTGTTTACATACACACTTCAAACACACGATTTGCCGGATGTAGAACCCAAACTTCTCGCCCAGCAGGGCGTATAGAAACGGATTGGCGACTGAGTTGACAATCTGCAGCAAGAAGCACGCCCAAGTTCCATAGGACAATGCCCTGTTGTCCGAAATTTTACCTGAAACGTACACTAAGTTTATAACGTGTCCCGGCAACCAGGCTACAACGAAGGCAACAACAACGGCTATCACCATTCTCGTTACGCGATTACGCGACTTAATGTCATTCCTAGAATCAGCAGCTACACCCCTATTTTGTCTTAAGGTCTTAAACAAAAGCGCGTAAAAGAACATAATTATAACTAAAGGCAATACAAACGATAGAAGGAAATTAAAAAGTGTCATTGCCAGATTCTTCTTAATGATGCCTTGCGATTGAATATCTCGTGATGTTGCTGGTAAGAATATAAAGATATATCCTAAAATACTTAGCACAAATGCTAACACCCATAAACCGGCATTTATAAGCCAAGCGCGCTTCTTTGAGCTCTTTTCTATGTGGCCTATGGGGTCTGAAACAGCCTGGTAACGTTCTATACTCAGTGTCGTGAGACATAACACGCTGACGAAAGCGCACGTGTCATAGCTTACAAACGTTACATGTTGAAGCCATCTGCCCGTTTCTTCTAGTAGAACTACGGCCCAAACCAGCGGAGTTGCCACCGTGCAAAAGAAGAAGTCAGCCATCGCAATGTTTAACACAAATATGTTTGGATAGGTCCTCATCTTCGGTTTCTTGACTATGACGTAGATGACAAATGCGTTTAACACAGAAGCAACGGCAGCCAGAATGAGATGCACCGTTGGAAACCAAACAGTTTTCTCCAGCGAAGAAGTCACAGGGAACGGAACAGTCCCGACGGAATATGAATCGTTGTCCATTTCCGGTGGAAAGATTGATCCCGGAAATGACGTCATAGTTTCTTTAATGTTATGTTCCAGGTGTGTTGTCACAGTTTTCACAGGTACAATTCGCTGAAAAAGAGAGAGTAAAGAAGGGGTATTCTTACTGCGTATGGCTCTTTGAAAGTATGGCTCTTTGAAGTAAAGGATAAAGAATAATTAAAAATGCCTAACACAGAAACACCTGGCAAAATATTTTTTTCTCCTTCCTCATAAAATTGATACTTAAAAAGCTAAGGGTGTCAGCCTTGAAAAAATTAAGGGCTGAATTTTGTAAAGAATATTTTAAAAGTTTTTGAAAAATTGCTGTTTATGTCAAAACTAGATCTATTATAACATGTACCACACATAAAACACTGCAGATATGAATCACTCACATAACCAGAAGTTCCACTCTGTCAATTGGTGACAGGCTGTGCTTAGTACCAGACTAAGTACTAGCCTCCTTCGCAGTCTTGTTGGGTGTGGGTCGTAATTTTTCTCTGAGCGACGCGAGTAATATGAGCGCGGAAACCTTCTCTCCGTGGCAAAAGTCCCTCGGCAGCAAATCGTCCCTCGCGGCGGCATATTACTCGCGTCGCTCAGAGAAAAAATTACGCCCACACCCAACAAGACTGCGAAGGAGGCTAACTAAGTACATGTAGTCTTCGGCCGCCATCTTGCTTTGCACGGTATTTTACTTAATAAGTATGGAAATGGATATGAACGAATAAATTGTTTGACAAGATTTTTCCAAAACAGCATATTACACAAATATATGTTTTCCTGGCCATGTTTATTAATATACGTATGCTGGCGATGTGATAATATGGTGTTATCTATTGAGTAAATGTTGAACAGATAAACAGACTGTTATTAGAATATATATACCGTGTCCAGATATACATGTACATGTAACAGCACCCGCGTTTGATAAAACAGTATAATGAGATGCATAAATACTATGCAAATCTTCAGAATACTTGCTGCATGTATTCAAATCAAAACTGACTGTTTTTTAATCTTGTTAAAAAAAAAAAGAATACACATCGTTAATATAACACGTACCTGTGTGTTCCAAGATCTTGGCACAACTGGCTAAACCGGATATGACGACAGTGGGTGACGTGTAGTCTGTCCAAAAGCGGGGATGCATAACTTACTATATATATTGTCACAGTAATAAATTATTGTTCTGTTAGGCCATACTGATTTGATTAAATGAATAACATTCTCTGGGCACCCCAAACACTGATGGATTCAGCAGAGAAAAAAGTTGAGAAAAGTGGGGTCGTGTGGCGTAGGAGCAGAGTGCTCGACTCGGAATCAAGAGGCCCCGGGTTCGAGTCCTGACATGGAAAAAAAAAGTTAGAAAAAAGTTTTCTTGAAGTTATGAACTCTATAAGTCATCACAAAGTTAAAAATGACAAAGACACAGAACAATATTGGTACATATTTACCAAACATAAACAATAATATATTTTTCTCTTCAACACACATTTCATTTATTGACAAGCAAACAGGTCCTTGGTAAATACAAAGGACTATATTTGTACACATTTTGTTCCACTATCAATTTGAAATGTCAGAATACAGAAATGCAGGTAATGTTATAGACACATTAAAGCTTTACATATATTTACATGCAGGTGCTTTCTGAAAATAGCATTGATTTACTTTTTAAGAATTCAGACTTTCGAATCATGCAAAAACAATGATCATACAGATAAAAAAGATTCATTTATTTATTGATATGTATAGATATAATGTTTTTATGTCTTCTTTCTTTCTTTCTTTTTCTTTCTTTCTTTCTTTCTTTCTTTCTTTTTTCTTTTCTTTTCCTTTTTTCTTTCCTTTTCCTTTTCCTTTCCTTTCCTTTCTTTATTCCTCCACGATGGGAGAGCCATGGTCGTTAAAAATACAGGGACACACACTTAAAGAATATCACAGTTTAAAAATAGTCTGCTTTTTCACACAGACACATGATTAAATATAAATAATGGATATCGTCTATTCTATGGCGATCTGTCCATTTCTATTTCGTCTTTCGTAGGCATTACAGTTCTTTACTATTCCTGAGTGTTTAACACTCGACCACTCTCTTTCTCTAAGTCCTAAATGTAAACACATACTGTCCACTCCTCCACAGGTGTTTCACTCTGTAGCACTTCTCTCTCTGTCTCTTTCTGTCTCTTTATCTCTTGTAAACAACCTGTCCACTCTTTCACAGGTGCTTCACTCTGTATCACTTCTGTCTTCTGTCTCTTTCTGTCTCTGCATCTCTTGTAAACACACTGTACACTCCTCCACGGTGTTTCACTCTGCATCACTTCTGTCTTTGTCTCCTTCTGTCTCTGCATCTCTTGTAAACACACTGTACACTCCTCCACGGTGTTTCACTCTGCATCACTTCTGTCTTTTGTCTCCTTCTGTCTCTGCATCTCTTGTAAACACACTGTACACTCCTCCACAGGTGTTTCACTCTGCATCACTTCTGTCTTCTGTCTCCTTCTGTCTCTGCATCTCTTGTAAACACACTGTATACTCCTCCACAGGTGTTTCACTCTGCATCACTTCTGTCTCCTTTTGTCTCTGCATCTCTTGTAAACACACTGTCCACTCCATCTTCAGTGCCATTCTACATGTTTCAGAGCCAGGATGGCCAAAGGGTACATAAGTCTGGCAATTGTTACAATATACTCTTCCCATACCCCGGGTTCAACATCCTCCTCCACAACTCTAGCTCCAAGAAGGACTTCTGTAAATCTTTCGTCCGACTGTTGATGTACAGCTGCCATCACTCCAGTGCCCAGTTTATCTGTTAGCACGTCTGCTAGAGTTGCCCTGAGTGTGTTGAACTTGACGCAGTGGGATATCATATGCCCCACTATGTCTTGTGTCAGTGTGTCACAAGCTGGGCAAGGTTTGGCACTGTGGCACGCGGGAACTGTACTCAGGTGCACCAACGCCTGTAGGGTTTTCTGGTGGTTGGGTAGTTTCCTTGCCAATGACCACAGTTTGTGAGGTTCAGTATTTGTTCCATGTATTCTGGTGAATCTGGTCTTGCCATTGTCTGACGCAATCCAGTTCCTCTCCTCTTTGTCCCTCACCGCCATTTTCACCACTCTTTTCCACACAGTGTTGGATGGGAACTCTGTTGTAAGCCAGTATTTTTCAAAATACTCTGTCAGGCCGTACTCCTGTGCAACTCTGTACACGTCACTGATGAACCCTCTGTTGACATGGCGTGCTCTTCTGATGATGTATGAATACAGTCTCAGAAGAAAGACTCTCTTGGCTAATGTGCTGCTTGGGAGGTTAGCCAATCTGCCAAAGAAGCACAGCTTGTGTTTGTCTATCACTGCCTTCAAGGGGAGCATCCCCACGGCGCCCAGGCTCTCTCTGGTCCCTGTCTGTGGGTGCATACTCTGCATCCGTTTCACTCCGCTCCTGTGTACTCTTTCAAGTTTTGCCAGGTCTGTTTGGGTAGGAACCCACAGTTCACAGCCATGCAGCATGCTGGGTAGTGTAATTGTGTTGTACAGTACTTTTGTGACTAAGGGGTTTGGAGTGTGACCTTCTGTTCCTGTGGCCAAAATAGTACTGATCCTCCCTTTTCCTTTCTTGCAGGCAGTTTCTATGGCAAAGGATGATGTCCCATTTGCGGAATGTTGTACTCCCACATGGGTGACTGTGTTTTCTTCTGGGATTTCCGCAGCTCCCATACCCATCTATGTTCTGACTCTGTCATGTGCCCTCTACCGCTTCCTTGTGTAAATACAATGCATTGGCTCTTGGTCGGTGCAAACTGAAATCGCCATTTCATTCCGTACTGGTGCATTGTATCTATCATCCGTTGTAGTCCTTTTCTAGTACCTGCTAACAGGCATATGTCATCTGCTAAGGCAGGAGATCCGCAGTAGATCCCTCCTATGGAGACACCGCTCCCTTGGGCCTGTAGTTCCTAGTGCACATCATTGTTTGCCAACAGGAAACAGGTTAGTGACAAGACGCCGCCCTGGTTTACACCTCTTGATGTTTCAAACTCTCTGGAATCTTTTCCCTCCAACCGTACAGCAAACTTATTTCCTGTGTGCATCAGTTTTATCAATCGCCATAGTTTGCCATTTATCCCTTCTCTGTACATCTTGTACAACATGCCATCTATCCATACGGTGTCGTATGCTTTCTTGGTGTCCAGAAAGCACCCATATACTGTGCTTTTTCTTTCTCGGTAGTGGTTGAGTACCTCTTGTACTAAGTAGGCGACCGTTAGGTTACTGCAGCCCATCTGCCCTCCACTCTGTAGTTCGTGAGGAAGTCCTCTGGTCTGTAGCCAGGGTTTCAGTCTGTTGAACAGCACTGTCTCCCAAATCTTTGATATTACAGGTAGTAGGGTGATCCCACGATGAGAATCCATGTCAGCTTTGTCAGTCTTATTTTGTTTTAATAACGGAATTTTAAGTCCCTTTTTAAAATCAGTTGGTATATGTTCTATTTCTCTCATGGTGTCAAACATATTTGTCAGTCTCTGCCATAGATCTGTTCCACTGTATTTGACATGTTCATAGGTTAGGCAGTCGCTTCCACCACTCTTGCCATTCTTAAGTGACCTGCATACAGCGGCAATCTCTTCCAGAGTAAAAGGTTCTTCAAGTATGCCTTCTCTGTTTTCTTGGCTTTCTTTTTCCATTCTTTTCACCTTCTCTTCAATTGTCTTCTTGTGATGTGTATCAAACTGATTGCCTTCATCCTCTTGTTCATTACCAAGTGTTTCAAAGTGCTTGGCCCAGGTTTCTCTCACCTCTTCTGGATCTGTGATAAAATGTTCTCCCACTCTTACTGCTTGTGGTTTGTCTCTCTTCCCTTTCTCTGCTTAACTCGTTTCCAAATTTTGGTGTCTGTGCTTGCTAATGAGGCGAGTTCTTCATTCTCTTTGGCTTCATGTAGGAGTTTTGCCTCTCTCAGTGCTGTTCTGAACTGGTTCTTGTTCTTCTTGTAGTTCGAGTATAGTGAGTTATCTCTCCCTTTTGGCTTCCCTGCCTCTTTCCACAGTAACCATGCTTTTACTTGCTTTTGATGTGCTTCTTTTAGCTCTGTTGACCAGTATGGCTTCTGGTGCATCTTTATCTTCTTTGTTGGTATTGTCTCTTCAGCTGCTCTTTTTAGTGCGGTCGTTATCGTGTTCAGCTCTTTTTTGATGCTCTCTGGAGATTTTTCAGTGGGTGCGACAGTTGTTTTTAGCAGTTCACTGACCCTTCTTTTGTAAGTGTTCTCAGTTTGGCCGCTCATACTTTTCCAATCTAACTTCCCCTTGTGCTCCTCTCTCTCTTTCCAGTCAACTGGCTTGTTTCTTAAAGTTGCTACAACTGGCTTGTGGTCCGACATGTTCAGAGCATCTTCTTCTATGACTCTGCATGCCAACACTTCTGATACTGCCTCCCTTGGTATTAAGATGTGGTCTATGGTTGACTTATGGTCACTGTTCTTTGTTTCAAAAGTCTCTGTTGGGCCTGTGCATAGGTGACACAGGTTTAAGGAGATTAACTCCAGTTCTTCTAGGATTTCTGTCAGCTCTTCTCCATTCTTAGATGGTGGGCCTTTCCCTCTAGGGCCTCCCAGTTCTCCTATGTGGGCATTGAAGTCACCCATGAATATCACAGTTCCTTCGTTCTCATATTTTTTCTTGCAGGTCTCTCAATATATCCATATGTTGCCTGTACTCTTCTACTGGTTCTCCTGCATGTGGGAGGTATACACTGAAGATGAACAGTTTCTGTCCGTTTTCCAGTCGGATCCGTATCCCCATGACTCTATCATTGCCTTCATCCAGCTTGTGCACTGCATAGTCTAGTGACTTTCGCCACAACAGGGCAACCCCTCCTTGACCTCTCCTCCAAGATCCTGTTCTATGTTCTTTGAGTCTTTCATCTGCCTTTCCAAACCCTCTGTGGCTATGTAGAATGTTGTCCAGTGTGTTCAGGGCTTCTGGAAAAAGCCAGTGTTCTGAGATTGCTATTACATCTGTTTGTGCCAGGTGTTTTGTTATGAAAGGTATTGCTGTTGTTAAACCTCTTGTGTTATAGCACCCAATCGTCAGCCCTCTATCTCTGTCATCTTCCGTCATCATGTGTGGCTATTCTCTTGGGTGTTTGGCACTTGGCTCTCCCCTTCTTTGTCTGTGTCTCCATTGTCTCTACTCTTGTATTTCCTTTCTGATAACCATTCTCTGCAGGTAATGCCATGAGGCCAGAAGTTTTCTTCCATGACCTTGTGTGTTTGGTGTAGGAGGACGTTTGATCCTGGCAAATACAAGTCTCTTTTCTTAGTTGGCATCGGTCTAACAAGGATAGCTGGACCCCTTTGTGTTGGGCATACTTGTAGATGGTCTGCTGCAATTTCTTTGGGTTCGTTTTTCTTCATATAGCCCAGGAAAAACCTCTTTCTCTGCACTCTGTTTCTCTCAATGCCCACAAAGTCTGAAAAAGTCAGTGTCGTTGTCTGTACATCTTGTGTTGTTCTTCCCTGCTTGTAGCC